CCATAAATTTTTATGGCTCGATAATTATCCATCAATTTCGACAACTAAGTTTTTAATTCTATAATATCTGACAACTCAATAAACATTGATCAATTTTAGTAATCAGATACGTTGCGATAACTCAATAAACATGTAAAACTCGATAAATTTCAATAACTATAAACTGCGATGACTCGGTAAATGCGGTATGCAGTTTTGTAGCCCATTAAATTTTCATATAATAAAGTTCAAGTTTAAGCAACTGAAAAATTGCGTTGCTTTTTAATATTTTTTATGGTGACGGCTTTTTGCACGTTTTTCTTATGGAAGAAAATACGCAAAAGCGTTTTCCAAGAACATTACAAAAAATAAAATAACGCCAGTTTTGCAAGCGCTTCAAACTTGCACTTTATTGTACTAAAATTTAATAAGCTACAAAACTGCCTACTCAAATAAATTCTAAAAAAAATTTAAAAATTTTTTAAATTTGTAATGTCTACAACTTCGGTGTAGAAAAAAAATTCATCGCTCAAATTATTGTAGAGTGCACCCCATAATACTACACTTAATTATTGCGCAATACTCAGAGCTATCATTGTAATTTTTTTAAATTTTTTTTTTGAGATGGCACATTTATTACATTAAGTCGATTTGTTTTTGTATTTCTGCGGTAAAGTTATTAAATATGTATTAATCAAGCTCAAATTTAATATTTAATTATTATTTATGTTTATGCATCAACTCTAAAAATTTGAAACAAATCAAACACATGAAGTGTGAACCCCGTCCGTTTTGGTATGGAACGCCTCATATACAAATATATGTATGTATATTTATTTAAACTTACATACATCTAAATGACTATGTACGTATGTATGTATGAAGAGACTTTAGTTGATTCAATTGTTCGATATCTATACATATTTTATCGCGCTCTTGGCTTACAAGCGCGTTTGTCGTGGAAATTGCCAACACAAGTTGGCAATGTAATTTATGATTGTAAACGGAAATGATGCAAATTTGCAATGCTGGCTTGTGCTAACAAAAAAAAAGTAAAAAGATAAAAGAGATTCACCATTAAATAAGCCGGGCTAACTAATGATGTGCACTTTGTAGGAAAATCAGTGTTGTTAACTTTTGCAAAATTTTGCATTTGTTGCTCCCATGGTTGCAATCGCAGACAGTGTAGAGCGATTCTCTTTTTACTATATCAAATAATTAATAAAAAGATTCGAAGCAATGAAGACAATATTTTGTTCATCCTAATGATCTTTTACGTTTTTGCATTGCATTTTGTTCAGATGTATTGAGAATGGTTCAACAATATTTATTCCCTATACCTAAACTGTGAACCAGTTTAAAGTAAAGGAAGAATGCTTTTCTTTTCTCATACTTAAGTACAAGAACCATAAATGGATTCAGGTTATTCCCAAATCATTGTCGAGCTCATAAAGTTTTTGTAATTAAACCTATATATCGCACAATTCTCAAAATAATCTATTCGAAACTAAGTTGCTTAGCCCAGAGTTTCTATCTTATTTCACTCTCCGAAAGAGTAACTTTGAAGAAGTTCCAAGAAGGAATGCTAGAGCTGAGTACATAGCAGAGACAATTTTCACAAAGCCAACAATATCACGGGCGTTGAAGTCCTTCTCGCTTTATAAAAGCCCGGGCCAGATGGTATCATGTTGCAAACTGTGGAGGATGCTATCATGCCATAGCTTTTGTCAATTTTCAAAGGATGCATAGCTTTTATTTACGTCCCTTTGTAGTGGAGGCGAGGGCACGCCTACGCTAAAGATTTTCGACCAATTAGCTTAACTTCCTTTGTTCTCAAAACCTTCGAGAGGGCTCTAGATGCTCACGTCCGGGGGTTTAAGCAGTATACTCTGGCAGCCTTCCTCGAAATAGGAGGAGCCTTTTACAATGTTCGGGAAGAAGCTATCCAAAAATCTCTGGACGAGCTCGGTGTCGAGGAGGCTATAAGCGCATGGCTAATGGCGATGCTTAGCAGCAGCTTTAAGCTAATCTTGGAAGCTACACACTAATAAGGAACGTTAGTAGGCGCACTCCTCAAGGAGAAGTGATCTCTCCAATTTCATGGCACCATATACTCAGTATTACTCAATCTCAACCAGGGGGAAGTAAAAGTAGTGGCCTACGCTGACGATGTAGTGCTTTTAGTAACTGGGTTATTCCCATCTGTGGAGAGTAATATCATGGATGGAATTTTAGCAGAGCTATGCCGATGAGTCGAGCAATGTGGTCTTTGAGTTAACCCAGAGAAAATAGAACTAATGCTCTTTACGGCCATGAATAAGGTTCCTGGCTTTGATTACATACGACCGACCCGAAGTAGAATTTCACAGATCTTTCGGGCTTATTATTCCATCGAGGGCCGATTGGGACGGGAAGCTTGATATCTCTACCTGGATACATCATCTGTAGACCGATGGCTTCAAAATGGAACGCGGAGTTGGAGAAGGCATTTACTCTGAGTTAAGTTAAGGTGAGCGCGTAGCTATTCTCTCTGATAGCCGGGCGGCCATTGAGTCCTTGGCGTCTTTTATAACAAGAGCGAAACTAATCAAGGAGTGTAGGCCGCTTTTAAACTCAGTAAGCTCAATCAAGATTTAGTTTGGGCCCGTGATCATCGCAACATTCCCAAAAACGAGACTGCAGACGATTTAGCGAGGCAGGGTTTCACATTTCAATTGGAACCTTATATAGAGACATATATACAGATACACAAACTTCAGAAAACGGATTGAAGCTGGCGCACAGCGCCCAGTGTTTCGACTATATGCAGGCAGATGGAAAAAAGTCGTGGTCACAGATGATTCAAAAAACCGGTTGGACTTAGATTTACTCACTTCTCCTCTCTACGGGCGGTATATTGCCAAAAAAATACGGGAATCGGCCCGATACCGAGCAATCAGTTCAGTTGCGTTTGGCGCTGAGCCCATTAAAGCAAGTGTTTTTTCCGCTATAATCAAGTCTTTAGGTGTCATGGAATATTCAGATGAGGGTATTTGTATATGTATATTTGGCATTTTCCTATTTTTTTTATCAAAAAATTTATTTGCTAAAGATTTTTAGTAAAAAAAGTGTGAGTACCGGTTCGTCACGTCTTGAAATCAGATGCATCTTTTCGCGCGACTTTGCAAATATATGTAATTTTTGATTTTAATAATTGTTCGATTTTTAGCTTTTATGCGTAATTTCGCGAAGACAAGTTTTCGAGTAAAGGAAAAATCGCATCAAACAATGGGCCTTTTATTTATAGCCTTTGCAAAGCGAAAACAAAAACTAGCCATCACATTTAATGATTCGGTCCACACATTTTTTGCGTTTAAGACGTTATATTGAGCCAATCTTTCCCATATTTTATTTTGGGGTTTTCAAATAAAAGAGGGAGTGCAAACTAAATTTAAGCGAAATGGGATGAAATTCCCCCCACACGAGTGGAGGGCGTGGCAATTATCCCATGTTTACCAAATTCCATAATTCCGTATCCCTAAGTGAAATTAGAGCACATGTGAAGTTTCAGAGAAATCGGTGCAGGTTAACTATTATTTCCACCTTATAGTCGCAAGATTATTGGCCCCTCCCAAATGAATTGAAATTTTCATACCGCATAAATGTCTATGGATATGAGAGTGCTGGAGAGTACTGAAACTTGGTATGGAGGTGCATAAGTATGTGGAGAAAAAGTAGAGTTATTGGAAAAATGGGCGAGGCACTTCTCATACAATTTCTCTTACTGCATATCCCTGGAAGTATTTGTAGTAGAGTACTGGAACTTACTATGGAGAAAAGAAATAAATTCAATACTGGTGACTCCCATGCAAATTGATTTTTTTATGCTGCATATCTCTGAAGATGTTTATGGCAAAGTTATGGACCTTCATAATCAGATATATAAAATCAATTCCCTACCCATAGAACAAAATTAGGGTTATTACAAAATGGGGCGTGGCACCTCCCATACGAACTAAATTTTCTTACTTCATATCCCTCGAAGTATTTCTGGTAGAATAATGGAACTTGATATGAAGTTATGTATATAAAATCTATCCAATATTGACGAGCAGACGAGATTTTTTTAATTCCGTAGTTTTAAACGGCCGCATACCTTAACTCGCTACACAAACTGTACAGCTGTATCGAAATAATATATATCCAGCCTTATCATGAGTTAAATTTTTAAAGCTCTAGTTAAAAATCGACTATCCGGCTATTCGGTTAGTCGACTAGTCGATTAGCAACTTTTTTGTTGGTCGATAGTCGAATAGCAATTATTCGATTAACCGCTCGAAGTCGACTAACCGTACACTTTCGACTAACCGCTCACTATCGAGTATTGGGAAAATCGATAACCGAAATTAATCGATTGGTGACAGTTTTTCACCATAAAATTATTGTTATTGGCTTGGTTGGGTTTTGTCAACAGGCATAAGTATTTAATAAATATAAAAAAGCAATGTTTACGGAAAGAAAACAACTAGTCGAAAAAAATGAATGGATAGTCGACTAGTTGTTTGTGAGCGGTTAGTTGAAAAAGTCGAAAGGAAACGGTTATTCGATTAAGTGAAGTCGATTAATTTTTGAAACAACTTTTGCTATTCGACTAATCGATTATACTACTAGTCGACTAACAAGAGATCTATTCATTTTCCCGAACCGGTTCACTTTTGATTTTTGGTTTCCATATATTTACTATAGGCGTATGAAAAATTTTTGGGTGAATTTTTTCCTGGCAAAACTCAGGATAAGACAGATCATCTTTGAAATATTTGTATAAAAAAGAGGAGTGAAACTCGAATGTATAAGCTAGTGAACAGTAAAGAAGACTTTAAAGGCTTTATAAATCGAGAATTTGTATGAAAATGTCACTTTAAAAAGCTCTTTAAATCTACCTTAGGTTTTATGAATCAGGCCATAAGTATGTATGTATGTATTTATGTATGTAGTTGTTTGTACAATTTACTATAAATACTTAACTGTACATTGACACTTACCCGGAACTGTCCAGAATGCTCGAATTTATGAAAGTCTGGCTCCAATTCAAGTGCTTCTTCGAGATTTTGCAAAAATTGTCTTTGGAATGTGACAATTTCGTGAATGTTACCAAAGAGTGCATTGATTTCAGCATTCGATAGGAATGTTTCTCGTTTCATTGGCTCCAAGTAATGCTCCAGTAGATTGTTCAAATGCTGCAAAAAAATAAGCAAAATGTGAGTAAAGTCAGCGCATTTTATTGCATCGAGAAATATTGGAAATTAAGATGATAAAGGATAGTTTTTGTATGTATCTACATTAGGGTTATCCAAGATAAGTAAAGTTGGAATTTTAATGCTTTCACCCCCTATTTTTTATTTTGAAATCAAAAAAATATTTAGAGGTCGCTAAAAGCGCTAAAATTTTTCCATGTATTTTATATGTGGAAAAACATATTTTCGTAAAAATGTTATAGAATTCTTGAAAGTCAACATTTTTCGAAAGGAAAGCTCTGGTTCTCTTCAGGAGGCTTCCAGTAACAATACCCAATTGTTTATTTAACCATTTCTCAATACTAAAGATTTTTTATTGATCCCCCCATTGCATTTTTTGGGGGTTTTCGGAGTCTCCTGAAGAGAAACAGAGTTTTCCGATCGAACAATATTGATTTCAAGTATTCTATACCATTTCTACGAAAAGTAGAAGTGCATGGAAAACGTTGAGCGCTTTGAGCGACCTCTACATATTTTTTGATTAAAAAAAATAGGGCTATACAAATTCCGACTTTACTTTTTCACATGCATTTTTGGACCACCCTAATCTACATATATATATTATATGTTTGCATGTATACATGGACATGGGGCCATTCAGTTATTACCTAAGCCAAGTATTAGCTGATTTTAATTCCAAAAGATTTTTATACCGTTTTTACAAATCAGGTCAGTTTCCCAAGATATTTTAATTTTTATGAAAAAATGCAAACACCTTTCGTGTAATTTTTTTTCATTTGTGTTTAATCCTGTTCTGTTGCCAAAAAAATTTAAGTTACTAAAGATGAAAATCGGTGGACAAATAAACCACTTTTGAATGGTCAAATGAAAAAATGTGTAGTACATTTTAGTATGAAAAAGAAGTAAGGAATAATGTTACTAATAGCTAATGTGACCAACTATTTCAAAGCTCAAAGAAATACAGCTTAGGTTTGGTTAGGTTAACGCCGCGAGAAGATTACCAAATTTCGAATGTGGCTAATTTCAATCCCTGCGAAGGTTGGACAGTCTAAAAAAAAAGTAGGGATAATTCCACTTCATCTTCCTCTTGATAGCTGATACAAAAGGGATCAATTGAAATTCCTAGTCTTACTGAGTGAATATCAAAGGAACAATGGCCTGTCAGAACCCCGCTCACTAGCTCTTGAGAGGTAACGTGGTATTCGGCGCCTTTAAGGGGCAACGATGTGTCACTCGATACTTGCGCTGAAAAAAGTATTTTAAAGCTGATAAAGTCTTCTTTTCCTCTTTTATGCCACAAAAGGAGCATCGCTTTCTTTTGTCCATTTTATTAGGTATTTAGTAAAGTATGGAATTTCATTATTGCGAGTACAAAGTATGCGTATTAGGCTAGCCCTCGCCGAGTTCCCACTAGGCCCAACCATCCAAGAGTGTACCACAGGAGGACAGAGGCGTCCTTAGTTGCTCCTTATCTGGGGATAACGTTTTAAGGGTGCCTTTCCAACGCCAGGTCTTCAGCCACGCAGTTTTCCGCGATGTCACTGTGACCCGGAACCTAAACTAGACGAAGTATGTAAGAAGCACTCTGACGCGATGGATAAAGAAGTCAGATATTCCTTTCCCGATTTCTAACGCAACATCACACCCTTTTGCAGTGAGCCTATCGCTTCCTTGGTGGCAGCTATTTCTACCTGAAAGAAATTGCAGAAGTCCGGAAGATTTAGTAACCCCGCCCTACACAGGCGCTGTAATCTATGTGTTTAGGGCGAAGTCAAAGCCCCCCAGAACTTCAGAGTGTTACCACCCGGTTTCTCTTAGCCTAATAGCAGTTCGTGCTGCTACAATTCTGTCTGCAATATCCTCAGGCGCCGTGTTTAACATGACATTGAGCGCCAGTATAGCTGCGGTTCCTAATGCTCCACAAATTCCTGTTTAAAAGTGTAGCTTTCTCCAGAGGGTTCCACCAGACAAGGGCTGCGTAAAACAAGATAAGCTTAAATCTGGTTCCAGAGCTAATGAATTACTTTGGGCGTGAGACCTTACCTTTTACCGATAGCAGTACAAGACAACCGACGCTGTTTTTACCCTTTCCTTACTGTTAGGCATCCACGACAGCTTTCTATCCAGGATCAAGCCTAAGTACTGGACCCTGTCTGAGAGCCGGAGGCGAAAAACCCCACTCGGGGGAAGGCTTAAAACGGGTATCTTGTAATTTCTGGTAAACAATACCAGTTTTGCGAGGCCGCCGTTGATTGCCCACCTGGATACTTCTTTCAGGTAACCTTGAGGCAGAAAAAAAGGGTGTATAGAAATCGTCCCTTAACCATAATAATCTACATAGGCGATCATCCGACATTCCACTTTTTCCAGTTCATCTAGAAGGTCGTTTACAACCGCAGTGCAGAGCAGGCGATGGAGAACACTACCATGCGGAGTGCTCCTAATGTCTCCGTGCTGAGTACAGGCACTCCCCCACTCCGCCGAGACAGTTATGGCACAAAGTAAGCTGTAGATACGCCTTATTAGGTTGGTTTCAACCCCCAGATTATGAATAGACTTGACTATTGCCTCTGGAGTGACATTGTTGAAGACCCCCTCGATACCGAGGGAGGCCCTTACTGCGTGAAGGCTTCTTCTGACCACTTTAGCAATGTGTGCAGGGTGGTATCCACCGACCTTGCAATAAGCATGTTGAGTTCTTGACAGATAGTCATGTACAGGTCAGTCTATCTCTCTAGCGGTTTTAGCAAAAATTAAAACAGACCGATAGGCCTAAAACCCTAGGAGAAGCATTCGAGCCTTTTCCGGCCTTCGGGATGAACGCAACACTGCCTACCCGCCAAGCCTTAGGGATGTACCCGGTCCTCACGCAGTTCGCAGGTATGATGCCATCCGTCCTCGGCGACTTTAATGGTTTAATGTGACGGAACTATCGAAACCTAATCGAGAACGAATTTAATATTTATATGACAACAACGATGAGATTGCCTTCGTTATTTTCGCTGAAAGTGTTAATAATGTGATCGCAGATGTTGGTATTAATCAGAGTTTTTTTATGAAGATTAACAAAATTTATGCTACAAGCAATCAGCTACAAACACTACAGCTAAGTACAAGTATGGGATAACATACGTAGATACGCCTTAATGGAGAACTTTTCATGAAACACACATTTATAGGCGTCTACAAAATGATTGTTACAAAAACGCCAGCGGCGATGAAAAATTATGAATTTACAAAAATTTTAATTAATATTAGAATCTACCAAAACATACGGAGAAAAGAATAAAGCTGCTATACGAAAGTTATAAGAAAGGAAGTGGAGAAAAGGAAATCAGACTGGCCATCGAATGGAAAAAGAGGACATCTTGCCTGAAGGCCAAACGGCGGAAGCCGTAAGGATAGTTTCACACACTTGAAGAACATATACATATACATATACTTATATATTTTTGTACGTTTTTGTGCATGCATTTCTCAATATTTGCAATGCATATAAGTTTGTATGCACTACATATGTATGTGTGTGTTGGCGGAAAAGGGTATGCTAATGTAATGCAAAAACTTTGAAACAATAGTTGAATAAATAGAAGTTTTGAGTTAGAGAATGCTGCCCAACACGCCATTATTGAAGCCGTGGTCTATGCTTTGTGGTTTGTGGCTGTGGCAAAAGTTAATACCGCCAACTGTACCAATTAGTGGCGTTTGCTGTTTGCACTTTTGGCATCGGCGTGTAAATTCTGCCAAGTTGCGCAAAACTTGCTTCAAACTCATTAAAGCAATGCCAGTAGCTGCGGAAAGTACTACATAGCACCTTGCCAAACGCGCTTAATGTATTCATACCCTGCAGGAAATGTATCTAACTATAAGCTAAGTTTAAGTTGATTAGGAAGGAGCTAAAAGTCACTATTATCTGTACATCTTGTAACTAACTACTTTTGGACATAAAATATCAATAGGGAAAACAAAATATTTTTTTAAATTAATTTTTTTTTTTTTTTTTTTTTTATTTTATCACATTTTATATTTGTTTACATATTCTGCTGTAGGTGTCCCATATTCGAACTCCGTCAGACATTACTTCAAAATGATAATATGAAATTTCGGGTTTCCTTTTGTTTGTCCTCAATTCGAAAAAGTATTTGCGAAGTGCAGGCTATTTTAATAGAAACGCGTTTAAAGAAAACAATCTCCTGCATTACTTGTCAACTAGTTTCAAGTTAGATTTTTGTAGCTAACTACGAGTAGGTTATTTTTTATCAATTGATAATATTATATTTTTCTATATTTTTCTGCAGGGTATGTATGCCTGTGTGTAGGCATTGGTGTAAAATACTGTTACTGGTAATAACCGGGCCATACCTTTGCGTGAAGGTGCACATTGCTACTTTCCTAAGTGTGTTTTCCAGCTGATATTCATGATTTTTTATCTCTGTCATTATTTATGCGCCACTTTTATACCAGTTGCGAACTTGACTTAATAACCAACAATAAGAGGCGGGCTATATTTTAATGATTCATATCGTTCTTTACTTTCTTCGTTTCTGCGCAATTTTTTTTAATTAATAATTATTTTGTTTGAGTGCTGGATGCGCTAGTTTCTTTCCACTTGTACTTTGCAAGTAATAAAACTTTAATCCTCTGCACTTGTTTCCTTTGCCTACCTAGCGATGCTGGTATATGCGCAGATTTTCGTTTGCAAACATATATTTGGTTCTGGGCACTTGACAGAGATGGCAGTCCCGAGTTGGCAAGAAGGTTTCTTTTAGAAGGGCTTTACCTTCAATATGTTTAACAAATATTTTTCTATATACATAAGTACAAAAATTTCAATTAAGAAACCAATTTCGTGGAATGTGGTGGGCAGCGGTGTCTGCAATTTGTACTTAAGGGAAAGATGTGGTCAGATGTGACTAATTTTAGTTGAATTATAGGAGCAACCAAGTTGTACAAGATTCCAGTTCAGTGGGATTGTATTTTAG